AATTAAGTGTCCAAATTAATAGAAGTTCATCATGACATTAAAACCAAAGTGCATACATAGTTCTCATCTAACAACATATAGCTCTCCAGAGCATCTAATTAATTAAACCATACATTGAAACTATGTAAAACATTTTAATGCGAAAACAAATGCGATCATAATCGCAACCAAGGTAACAATTGATCCAACAGCATAATGATACCAAGCCTCGGTATGAATGGCATATTTTCTAATCTTTCTAATCTTTAAGCGCATTGCATCCATCTTGATCTTGTGATCATCGACGACATCCGCAACATGCAACTCCAATATCATCTTCTCCTCCTCAATTTTTTTTATTTTTTCCTTCAACAAATTGTTTTCTTCTTCAACTAAATTTAACCTCTCGACAATAGGGTCGGTTGGCATTTCCGATTCACATACATCCTAGATAAATAAAATCTATGTCACGTTGGTCGGCATAATTTTCATAAACAATAAATGAACCAATAGTTATAAAGATAATATACATACCAAATCCGAATCATAGATAGGACGAGGGCCGACGGGGGTGGATACCAAAACCATCGCACTATATAAGATGCAATAATAAATGTAAGAAAATGATACAAGTATCTATCTAAAGATACAAGTAAGAATATTTTTCCTTTCAGAAAGAAGATAAGAACAAGAGGCTCACCACGGTGGTGTCGGTGATGAGATCGGCGCGGGTGATCGACGGCGGTGAAGACGGGGACGGGGCGTGACGGACCGCTAAATCTAGACAAATCTCGAGGAAAACGGAGCTTGGAGGTCGAGCTTCAAGAGGAGAAAGCTTAAGTAGTGTGGCTCGGGCATTCCATCAAACACCTCATGTGCATAGGAGGTGAGGTAGAGCACCACAAAGCCCTCTCCCCCTCGGCCAGAAAAAACAGAGCACTGTGCTCTGCTCTTGCGCGAGGGGGTATATATAGGCACCTCATTGGTCCCGGTTGGTGGCATGAACCGGGACTAAAGGGGAGCCTTTGGCCCCGGTTCAAGCCACCAACCGGGACCAATGGTGGTGGGCCAGGAGCGAGGCCCATTGGTCCCGGTTCGTCCCACCAACCGGGACCAAAAGGTCCAGACAAACCGGGACCAATGGCCCACGTGGCCCGGCCGGCCCCCTGGGCTCACGAACCGGGACCAATGCCCACATTGGTCCCGGTTCTACACTGAACCGGGACTAATGGGCTGAGCCGGCCTGGACCATAGCCCTGTTTTCTACTAGTGTAAATACGTTACTTTATATCTCATTACAAGATATTTAAAAATGAAAAATATATATGTGAACACACAAGTAAATAGATATGTATTTGAACAATACTTTTCTCTCTCATGAAATGATGTCTCAAATAAACTCTAGCATTAAATATTGTTTCAACTTAATGCATGTGTATTTGTAGTTAACACATTAAAATTTATATCGGATACAATATATCTTATTATCTAACAACACGATATGTTGTCATTTTGGCTAATATAAATATAAGCTAATAACATCCAACAACTTATAAAAAAAGTAAAAATGTTTAGTATAAATCCAGAGTTGACATTCGTTTCGGTTGTGGCTTTACGACCCATCGTGTACGCGTCGCCTTCCAATCCTATATGGAAATTACTGCAGTACTCTGTGTTTTTGTATTATGATCAAAATTAGGATGCAACATTGTTGTTGTGCATTGACTGACTTGCCAAGCAGATAAGGCACGGCCGCTGCTAGCTAGCCGACCAATCCAGAGTTCATGATGGCCATGCCCCGTGACTCCCCCGACGACGCCAACTTCAGGGTGAATGCCCCTAGGCTAACGATGTGCAAGAAGGAACCCTACTGGAGCTCCAATGACTATGACGAGACACTCATGCTCTGTAAGGGCAATTTTGCTTGCATCATGGAGGCTCGTCACAAGTGATGGTGTCCTGCATTGGGGGAGGGGGCACACCACGTCGGCATGCCATTTATGGGCCGAGCTAGGGACCCATCGACAGGGCCGGGCCGATAAAATCCAGGGCCCTATGTGAAACTAAAAAATGGGGCTCTATATCAGTAGAAAAAATAAACTATCGAGCAATTATAATATATATTTTATATAGTGTCTTATGTAACAAATTATGTTGTACTGAAACACAAGATATGAAGATGAATAAAATAAAATTATAGTGATATGGCAGCAGATATCAATTGGAGATTATGCATCAATGTTTGACAATTAAACGAACCGTCTAACTCACCTAGTCTTGTGTCCCGTCAGATTGAATTGCTATACTGTGATCTTTAATCGAGGAGCAATAATGCAAGAACATATCTTTCCATTGATCCCTGCGAAAAGTTAATTAGGAAATAAGAATTAGGAGAAAAGGAATAGAATTAGGAGCAAGAAGCCAGCGGTATTCCTATGTGGCTCAAGAATCCGAGATCACGGGAGGAATAATCGATGAATGAGAAGTTGCGAACAAATGAGATACTGTATTCAATACCAAAACTAACGTACAACGTAACCTCATCCTGCCTTTGTCAGATCTGGATGTCTCGATTGTGCCAGAGGCAGGAGGATGAGCATGTGCCGTGTCGCCTGCCCATGGATTCTCAATGCGATCGATGGAGCAGAACTAAACCGCCCATTGGTTACAAATCTAGCAGATCAGCTTTTTTGAAGGGAGATCGAGGCATCGAGCAGATCAGCATACCCTAGCACCCTGGCGGCTGGGATCGCAATCGAGGCATCGAGCCATCCAGGCATCGAGCAGTGGCATGGGATGCTCGAACAGCGGCCCGCCCGGTGGACTCAATCGCGGGGGAAGTCACGCGCCAGCGAGCAGGGGCCCAGCTCTATGCATGAACCAACACCTACCCTGGAAAAATATGTACAAAGGCATATAAAAAGTATGGGGGCCCCTAAATTGATGGGCCCTGTGCGGGCCGCACAGTATGAACAACTATCGGCAAGGGCCTGCCCACCGACAATTGAAGAATGGGCCTCGCATGCCCTGGACCCCGGCGTACTCAAGGTGGAAACCTTCGAAGACTTGGCGTACACTTCAGACGTGTTTGAATGACCCCGGTGTACTTAATGCATGTTATCCCTAGTAGTAGCCGATATATTTGTAATCCTAAATACCCCCGGTGCCTATATAAACTGAGGGGTTTAGTCTATAGAGGCAAGATTTTTTGAGGTTAGAACTCATTCATACGATCTCGAGGTGGATCTCTCTGTACTTTGTTCCCCATCCACAAAATATAAACAAGAGCAGGAGTAGGGTATTATATCTCAGAGAGAGCCCGAACCTGGGTAAAATTGTGTCTCCTATTTTCTCATGTTACCATCGTGCCAAGACTACTAGCTCGGGACCCCCTATCCGAGATCCGTCGGTTTTAGCACTGACATTGGTGATCACCAGCAAGTATAGGGGATTGTGACAGTCTTCGAGGGTAGTATATATTTCACCCAAATTTATTGATTCGACATAAGAGGAGCCAAATAATATTTATAATCCTTAGCAGTTGAGTTGTCATTTCAACCACACCCGAGAAGCAAAATCTATGCTACAAAATTTTAGCAACCCCCCTCTCTCCTCTCTCCTGCCAGCGGCACACCTCAGACACACACATATAAAAAAAGCAATCACGTGACCCCCGCTCTCCTCTCTCTCTCTTCTCCCAGCCGGACAAATGAAGAATATGTTAAGATGGCTCCCTTTCCTATCCTGTCCGTGGACATGTCTCAGACGTGTCCACGGACATTTACGGTGTACATTTGAAGGGCTTGCGTTGAAGATGCCCTCGTAGCCCATCTCGGAGCTGTCCGCGCGGTCCGAACATATGTGAGCGGTTTAAGGGTCGGCGTTGGAGATGACCTAAGTGCACTAGTGAAGGATGGCACTAGTGAAATATGTCCGGACTATAGTGTCCAAACCGTTGTTGTCATCCAATAGGTCCCTTAAATGTACGCGGACTAGTCTCCATGTCTCAACTTGGGTACATTGATCGCAAACTTGAAAAATGTTTTACGGGTGTCTGGATATCCGCATGTCCAACCAAAAGCAGCCATGTGGGCCCCATATCTCCTCCCGGCCACACACACACATAAAAAAAGCAACCACGTGAGCCCCGCTTTCCTTTCTCCCTCCTCCTCCTCCTCCTCCTCCTAGCCAGACAAATGAAGAATATTTTAGGATGGCTGCCTTCCCTATCTTGTCCGCGGACATGTCTTGGATGTGTCGACGGACATTTTTACGATGTACATTTGAAGGGCTTGTATTGAAGATGCCCTCATAGCCCATCTTGAAGTTGTCCCGACATATGTGGGCGGTTTAAGAGTCGGCATTGGAGATGCCCCAAGTGCAGTAGTGAAGGATGGTACTAGTGTTTTGGGATTTGTGGTGCAGGCCGGCTGTTGTGTTAATTTTTGGGAGCACATGAGACATGAGGAGTGGGTTGGAAGCATAGATACATAGACTAGACAGGGCAATGCATAGTAGTAGTGGATGGTGCGTGAGATAGATATAGATAAGCGATATGCGTGAGGGTGCGTCATTGTCATGGTGCACGAGCGTGCGCGCCTGGCTCCTTCTACCTTTGCCAATTGATTGACTCGATCAAACAAACCGTCTCTGTCTCCGTCGATGGCGATGGCGATGGCTGCCCCGCTCCACACGTCGAAATGGGGACGAGAAAGAAGAAGAAGAAGAAGAGAACGCGTTCCTTCCACCTTGCTTCATCTCTTTATATATATCTTTTCCTTTCTTTCTTCACCATTTAGGCCAGGTGAGGGAGCTACTTTACTAACTTCATTGTCAATAGCTAGCAGGCTCTTCTTCTTCTTCTTCTTCTTCCTCCTGCTCCTGCTCCTCCTCCTCCTCCTTGAGCAGGCCTCTGTTGCCATGCGTGCATGACAAATTGATTAGCTATATACTTAGTTGGTCCCTACCCATACAGATCCATCCACCACAGACAAGATTAGGTAGGTAGATAGATAGCTAGGATGCAGCAGCAGGCAAGGGCAAGGGCAGCGGCAGGGGAGGACAGCAGCAGCAGCAGCCTGCACACGGTGAACGCGGCCGCCGTCGTTCTGGCCGCCGCCGCGCAGAGCAGCACCGGCCTCGGCCTGCGCCCCAACCACCATCATCTCCACGACCACGACCACGACCTCTCCGCCGCCGCTACGGTACGTCCGTCCTCCTGCTTGCTTGCTTGGGTCGATCCCTTGAGGCCTTCACGCGTGAAGGTACCCCAGCTTGGTTCTTTCATCTTAGTTTGAATTGACTACTAGTGTGCGTTAGCAAGTACTCCCTCCGTTCCACAATACATGACTTCCATTTGTTAAAATATAGATGTATCTAGACATGTTTTAGTATATAGAAACATCCATTTTTATGAAAGTCAAGTATTTTGGAACGGAGGAAGTACGTAGTAGCAGAAGCGTCCGGTCTGGTGGGTCAGTGCCTACCATCCATCCATCTATCCATCATGTCAGCCTAACGTACGTACCCTACCATCCATCCATCTATCCATCATGTCAGCCTAACGTACGTACGGTTGTGTTGTGTGTTGGCTTGGCCTTGGCATATCTTAGCCTAGCCGCACGTGCTGAATGAATGAATGAAACTGCCTGGTTCCGGGGAGTAGTTGTAAATGTCTCATGTACCCATCCATCCATCCACAGTTTACTTTGACCTTTGATAGTACATCAAAATGTGTTGCAATCTCCATGGCGCCAAAAGTCACCCACTCTTACCTCCACCACTCATCACAAATACGCACGCATGGCAATTGGCAATGGCAATGGCAATGCCATGATGATGCCACTATGGAAATTACTTACAGGCCTCAGGTCATAGATGTTAGGCTTAGCTGCGAGGTCTGTGATATTAGGCCCTGGATTATCAGCATTCCTTCATCAACTGGACATGAATAAAGACAGATGTTGCGTAGACGATGGCTTCAGACTTACTGATGTATTCGTTTATAAGGTCTTTTGTGAATAACTAATAAAGTGGCTGCATGCATCGGCCAGATGCAGAGGCCGGAGGTCTTCCTCCTTAAAAAAAGACACACAGAGAGAGAGAGCGCATCTTGCTCAATTCTTCACATGCATGTCTGCCAAACTAATCAACCACGTGTTTTTTTTGGGAGTGGCTGGACGTCAGTCAACTTGGGATGCAAAATCAACGGCCCCAGTCTTTTCTTCAACCTCCCGCACATCTACTTCCTTCCTGCCCTCTCCGGAAC